TTATGGAGAAAAAATTATTATTAGAAATGTTAAACACTATATATATATATATATATATATATATATATATATATATATATATATATATATATATATATATATCAATTTTTCCGGTTTTTCTGTTGGTGTTGGAATCACTAAATTTCTTTTAGCTCTGAATGGAGGCGTCATCTCTCAGTGAATTAGGAACGGAAGAAATTATGGTGACATTGGTTAGAAAACGTAGAATGGACGTGAAAAAGATCAAGAAAATCACAAAAGTGAAAATGCGTAAACAACTCAAAAGTAAAAATAACAGAATTTCTTTCTTCTTTTTTTTTCTATAAATCATTCTCGGTGAAGCTTTATTTTTAATAAAAGTGAAACATGTAGGGTTGATTAACGTTTCTGATTTGTTCTTTATTTTATCAATATGTCGGATTCCGATCCATATTTGATTTTATATTTGATCACAAATATATATATATATATATATATATATATATATATATATATATATATATATATATATATATAAATTTGTGTATGTAATCATTACAGTGTTATAAGCTATTGGCATTTGGAAAAACGTTTTATTATTTTCGGGACATATTTTCATAAACGTTTTTCCAAATATTTTAGGCATGTCTGATTGAATAATTTGCAAACATTATGTCTGGTTATTTTTATCATAATCTTTTCATATTCACGAATATTTTTCCGTATATTACAATATGAAAGGATTATGATAAAAATAAGCAGATATAAATTGAAATTTATTCAATCGGACATGCCTAAAAGAGGATTTGCTGCCTAAATACACAAATATATATGTGTGTGTGTGTGTGTGTGTGTGTGTGTATGTCTGTGTACGTATCTCTGAGTATGTGTGTGTGTAGAGAGAGAGAGAGAGAGAGAGAGAGAGAGAGAGAGAGAGAGAGAGCGAGATTCGTCATTAGTTTGTTAAACATTCCCATTATGTACACACTTTCTCAAAATCACGATAAAGTGGATTAACTACTTAATAAAACTAGTTCATCAATGCCATTCAAAATGGCGGCATTTCTTTAGGTCATTACTATTATTAGGTTTTCATATGAGAGTTTTTTTGAAATTTATAAATATATCAATAAATCGCTAGTGCCCACGAGATATAACTAACACCCCAAAACATTACAGAAAACATTTGGCATATAATCCTGTTAGATTTTATTATTCAAGTGCGTGTTTTTAATAGTATATTTGGTTTTTAACCCACCGATGTTGGAAAAACTTTATAGTATTTAAGTTTATTAGAATTACTGATGAGAACTTGTTTTGGGAATGTCTGGTTTTTATTATAGAAGAAAATGTAACACCAATTAGCATTTTTAATACTCACGTCAAATTAATAATAGCGTTAATCAAATATATATATTTTGAACAATTTCCCTCTCCGCTCCCAGTGACAAATCGATGTCCACTGTAAATTTAACAACTAGATGTTCCCATGGTTAATTTTTGTTTTTCTCGTATAATTTGACAAAGATACCAAACTGTTTGGGTGGCGCAAGATTAACGGATAATTACCATAACTTATGTGAAATTTTATTAAGCAAGTCGAGAGTTGTTCGTTATATTGTAAATAAATGTATATAATAGAATAGGTATTGATAGTTATTTTTTCGTTTCTTATATACAAAGATTGCTGAAGGCAGTAAAAAAAGAAAGAAAGATATAAACTTCGAGGAAGAAACAAAATAGGATTATTTATTTGAATGATGTGAACAAAATTTTGAAAATGAGGAAAATAAAGTTAACAGAGGTCATAGAACAAAAAACCAAATGTAAACTTTAATGGGATACGAAAACGAAAAATAGCTCGGGAAATGTTTCAAAAAGAGATTCAAGAAAGCTTAAGAAAGCAATAAGCAAGAGAAATGGGTTGGTCAACAAAATATCTTTGAAAAAACTTCTGTGAATATGAAAAGATGCAGGAAAGAAGAGAAAATAATTTAATTCTGCAAATTATATTTTTTATAAATATCTTGACTCCTACAAGTTGAAATATTATCGAAATATTATGAATTAGCTCAATGTTACCTTTTCAGAAGAAAGAATAGAAGGTTTAATTGTGGAAAGACATGCTACTTGGGTCAACTTGACCTGAGGAACTGAAAACTTCATAACAGAGACTAATATTCCATATTTACGTCATAAACTCAGAAGTGATTGAGCGGAAAAATATTTTTGGTGGCGGTGGGGGGGAGGGGGTAACGGAAAAATTAATTAAATATTTAAAAAAAAACTTTTACACAGTTATACTCATAATATCTATCTAAAAATACCTATAATATAATATAATATAATATAAATAAAAATAAGTAAAACCTTTCCTGTAAACGCATTTCGTTCCTTAAGGAAGTATTTGATAAATTTATTTTATTCCATTTGACTTCTTAGAAAGAGAATTCTATAATTCGAAAGGAACGAAACGTGTTGGAATAGAAGGTTTGTTCTACTGTGATTTCTTTAATTAATGTTATTTTTGCGGACACATTTATTTATATTTGAAATTTTGCACGCACAGACTCTCTCTTTCTCTCTCTCTCTCTCTCACACACGCACACACTGACACACACACACACTCTCTCTCTCACACACACACACACTGACACACATACAATCTCTCTCCCTCTCTCTGCCACACACACACACACACACACACACACACTGACACACATTCAGACACACACACACACACACACACACACACACACACACACACACACACACACACACACCTGCACACACATATTAACAATCTGAAGATTAATGTTTGATTAAAAAGAACAGACAAGGTATATATGTTTGATTTTTATTGTGTTTTTCCAATTTTCAAGTATTGAGCTCGAAATTGTGGATAAACTGTTCGAATTTCATATTTTGTTATTGTTTTGTTTAAGAACTTTCGATTATATCAGTCAAATTCAAGAACCAGTGTGGCGTCTCTGTGGTAGGTAAAATTCCTTTGTTTACATTATGGTATCTTTAAAAAAGTTGTGATATATATATATATATATATATATATATATATATATATACATATATATATATATATATATATATATATATATATATATATATATATATATATATATATATATATATATATATATATATATATATATATATATATATATATATATATATATATATATATATATATATATATATGTATACCGAAACTAAAGCTACTAAACAAAGCTTACAACGGATCACGATCAATCTTAATAGATATTCGTTGGCTGTTATATTTAACAAAACAAAATATATTTATATATATATATATATATATATATATATATATATTAGATATAACTTAAGTAGGGTTTTTTTTCCACCTGATCATGGTCATGCTGTCCGAAACTCGTCGAGGAACTTAATTGAAATAACCAAACAAAAAAATATTAATATATAACCCAGTATGTTTGAAATTTTAAAATATTTTTTTGTTCAAAACACAAACACACACACACACACACACACACACACACACACACACACACACACACACATATATATATATATATATATATATATATATATATATATATAACGTCCTGGGGTTGACGATAAACTACAACTGGCAGCAAGGCCTCTGATCAGGAGAAGTTTTGAGGAGCGTGAAACCAATTGTTAATTGGTGTTGTTACCAGATCAATCATAACCGGGGATGATAGGACATATTAGCATATTAGGGTCCCAGCTATGGACAAATAGTTAACCCACAAACTGGATGGAAGACTCTATTAAAGTGTAAACATTTTCATCGTAGAAATACCAGCAATACATGTTCATAGTAAAAAAAATTACTAGCATTACATTTATATAAAAAATTAAAAAAAATAAAAGTTACCAGCAATACGTTTCTTAAAAAAATACCAGGAATAATTTTTTTGTAAAAGAAATTACTAGTGCTCCTAAGAAAAATAAATTTCGTCATTAAATTACTCATAAAGAGTTGATAAAATATGTCGCTAAACAGACATTTACATTAAGGGGGATTTGAATAATCATTATAGTAATTCATCGAGTCTAGAAGAATTCTCAACAGAATGCAGAAAGTACTGGACGGCCGTTTCGTACTAATTTTGGGATTCATCACCAGTGTGCATCCACTACCAAGAATCGAACCCTATATCGAGTCTGGTTTGTCACCTTTTCATCACCGAGACCCGTTGGTCCAGTGGCTTACGATGCTTGCGTCATATCGTAACTGTCCTGGTTCGATTCTCTGTAGTAGATGTGCACTGCCGATAAGTTCCAAAAATAAGACGAAACAGCTGTCCAGTGCTTTCTGCATTCTGTTGAGGATTCTTCTAGACTCGATGAATTATATATATATATATATATATATATATATATATATATATATATATATATATATATATATATATATATATATAGATAGATAAATATGTATGTATGTATATATATATATATATATATATATATATATAAATATAAAAGTGAACATAGAAATCAACACTTAGAGGCGACAGTCTGTTTCATGCTAGATGCAATCGTCAGGCAACGAGTGTTGTCATTTCCGGTAAAATAACCGCCAAAATAAACCATCCACAATGCACCACTGACCCGTATATATAAATAGCCAAGAAAAATAACAGCACTTGTGGCCTGACGATTGCATATAGCATGAAACAGACTGTCGCCTCTAAGTGTTGACTTCTATGTTCACTTTTATATTTACACACGCTCTATCTCTGATATTGAGCACTTTATCCCATAAATATAGCACATCTTAAGACATATATATATATATATAATGAAATGTGAATATTATGACCATGATGAAAGGATTGAAATGTCATGAATAATTTTCATTTTAGAATTCACTCTTCAAAAGAAAAAAGAAAGACGTGGAACTTGGGTCAACTTGGTCTAAGGAACTGAAACAAGATAATAGAGACAAGTATTAAATATTTACGTCAGAAATACAAAAGTGATTTAGCGGAAAGATGAAATATTCTTGGTGGCGGGGAAATCTATCTATCTATCTATCTATCTATCTATCTATCTATCTATCTATCTATCTTTCTTTCTCACAGTTGCGCAATCGCATAAACGAAATTCCTATTTAATTGTAATTTTTAAAAGATTTATTGTGATGTCAACGTTCTCTAAATGGTAATATTAGCCATTTCCTTGTAAGGAAACATTCGGCATTCATTGATCGAGCAGCCAGTACTGTTGCCAGCTGAAATTTATAAAACCTTTCTATTAAGACAATTTTTCAAGAAAATAGTTTTCTCAAGTCGAGTAGCTGTTATAACTCTTTCCAGTATTAATCGTGTTTTCCTTCCTAACCTTTTGATTGAAATAGTGTGAAACGTTATCATCTTGGTTATGTCATTGTTTTCTCTTAGAGTTACATGTGCTATGCATTCTCGTCGTTTCTGTCGTGGAAAGTCCATGTCATATGATCCCTGTTATGTGGTAGGAGCCAGTCCACGTGGTTCAAAAAAGGATTGACCTGGATAAGGCTTGCGCTCGAAGCCATTTTCACTAAATATGACATTAACAATGCGAGAGGATATTGAAATTTGGGCGCGTATGGTAGCCGCCATAAAATTCTAATCAACTGATATATATGTTATACCGGAACGTACCTATTTCTATTGTAAATAGACTCTCCCACAGATAATAAGTAGTAGTATTAGCAGTCGCCGAGTGAAGCGGAGTGAGTTGAGTGAGTCAGTTGATGTCGTACATTAAAGTATAGGACCCACAACTAGATTGCTGCGTCATTAACTATTATTGCAAGTTCCTAACGTTTTGTATGTCGAACCTAATTTAGGACCGACTCAGTAAAATACCAGCCTCCACTGTGAAAACTACTTTACAACAATATAACAGATAGACAAATATATTGGTAGATATATAAACAAGCATTATTTTCACTTTATGTTATTTGCAAAGAAATATTAGATGTGTACAAAAGTTTCTAGCCCTCATTTGAGAAGTTGAAACGAAAAAGGTTTCGCTGGAAAATTTTGCTCACACTTAATACAAAATTAGAACGATGTACATTTTTCTGATTCTGACTACCACTATTATTATTTTTTTTACTACTACTACTGCTACTAGTACAGTTTTTATTTCTATTACTACTACAAGTATTTATTATTGAATTTATTACAACAGCAACAATAACAACGGCAATAATTGTAAGTCTGGCTATAGGCGATGTCTTTAACAAAACAGGATTTGTAATAATAATAACAGACAAAGCCTATTAGAAATCTAACCAAGTGACTAAAGTACTTCGTGACCAACTTTTAATAGTTTTAACAACTGCTGTAATAATTGTTATTGGTAAAGACCTGGTGCGTTGTTATCGTAGCGCGAGGAAAAGATATTTAAAATGGCGAAAATAAATAAATAATAGGCAAAAATAGTCTATTTATTCGGGTGACCCACCCAGGTGGGAAGGCTTCTTTTTTTCTTTTTTTTTTTGTTTTGCTTGCCTTGCGACAGTTTTGCGGGCGTTAACTCAACCCCCAACCAACGGTTTCTTCGCCATCGTTCTTGTTGCATTGGCAGAAGAAAGATGGTATCTGTCGGCAAGGTTTAAGGTTCGTACCATCAAGTCGGCCAATTTTTTTTTTAAATATTTGGTTGAGTCATAAATAATTTCCATTTTTGCTTATTAACTTTATATTTCAAGAAAGTAAGTACAATTAAATTTTATTTTATTCAATTATATTGTAATGACAAAAGTAGGCAGGTATAAGCTTTAAGGAAGCTTTATTCAACTGAGAATACAAGTATATGTCCTTTTATAGTCCCAGTAAACAGAAATAGCTGTCTCAAAGAGAAGAGTAACAAAACAAGGGGAGACCACTCTTGATTATTCATAACATATATATTCACCGTTAAACAAGCAGCCATTCGATATCTTTTGAGTGAAATTTTTGTGAAGAAAGTTGTGACGAATAGTTGAATGTGGTTTTCAATAGAGAAATCCCCCCCCCCATCAAAACGTTTTGTAACGATTGAAAAAGATAATAATCAATTAGTGCAAGGCCAGGGGCATATGACGGGTGGATGGGGTAGAACAGTTCAAAAACTGTTTTCATGTGTTATTCTTACTGCAGGTGATTTAGCATTGTCATGGAGGAGAATGCCATTTATCCTACTGATGAGCGCACGGGCGCCTTTCGACCAACACTTTATGAACATACGACGGCTACTGGACATACAAACATGTTTAATTGTGTTTCAAAAACTCTACCCGGCGATCCCATCCCATGCACAATATTGACTTTCTTCCATGAAACGCAGCTTTTGGGTTTAGTTGTAGAAATCTGTCCTTGCCTATCCACTGCATTTGACGTTGAACAATATCGCACGTAGTACATTTTTGTAGTTTGATATCTAGGAAAATGTCTAGAGAATGCTTTGATTGCAAGTTTATCTACAGTAAATTTGCACCCTGGCTGTTTACAATATTTTATCATTCCTGGCAGAACATCTATTATCACAGTGTGGGATATCTAATTACAAAAGTGGTGAAAAGAAATAACAAAAGAATCTAAATGAAATCGGTTAGATTAAAAAAAAAAAACCAATTAAATTCCCAGCATCCCTCGTTTGTGCGCATGTGTAGTCGCACCAACATAAGAAATTAGTCCGATGAAGTCCTAAAGGAGGAAACGCGTCACACGAAAATTTTTCAAACCCTCATAGATTTTTTTCGCACACACACACACGTATATATATATATATATATATATATATATATATATATATATATATGTGTGTGTGTGTGTGTGTGTGTGTGTGTGTGTATTTAGGCAGCAATCCTTCATTTATACAGGTTTCATTAAATACGACAGACAAGGTACTGCGATTATGCTTTTTATTTAATTTTTCTTGTCTTCGAATTAGCGTTTTCTTTTTTGGACACAGTTTGTAGAAACTGTCCAAAGGTTCTATAATTCCGAAGGCTTTCGGCTATACTTTTAGCCATTATCCAGAATAATTTTTACATTTGATTTTTAATTGGGTATATCGGTTGTCTGTATGATTTTACAGTTATAGGGATATTTTATTTTCCTTGTCTACTGAAATAAGTCGATTTTGATTTGAGAATCTTTAGTCAAATCTTTCCCTATCCATAATTAATTTGTATCTGTAAAAAAAAAACCCAAAAAAACTAGCACCGATAAACTTCAAAAAGTAATTTTCACATGTAATGTAATATAGGGAACGTAGTGGACCATTTTGAAACTGGCATCGGCTATGGTGTGCATGCTGAAGGGACTTTTTCTAGATTTGGTATTCTGTGTGTATGTTGTGGATATATTCTTGTTTGTTCGAGAGAAATGGAGGAAACATAGCGGAAGAAAGAGTATAAAAAATGTAATAAGACAGGAGAATTAGTTTGGGCCAAACCGACATCTGAAGAGGGCCCCGTTTTCTTGAAAGTCAACATTTTAAATCCCGACTTTTACCAAAATTAGGAACATGGAGTTCGGATGGAATATAATGCAAGCAATTCAACCCTGAAGTTTCGGTATACTTCCGGGTCAAGGTATATCAGTTGAGTTACATAGAAAACGTTAATTTTTTTATGTCGGCTAAATGTTAAACTTCTCCCATAAAGACGTTATTACGTAACATAAGCTAATGAGAAATTTTTGATTATGCATATATATATATATATATAAACAATTTGTCTATATTAAAAAATTATAAATAATTATTGCTCTCTTTTGAATTATTGCTATGAACGTTAGAATTTATATATTATTTCGTTCTCATTACATTCGTATATATAGATGTTTTTTTTTTACAGAATATTAGCTTCGGGTATTGTGAGTCTTTCCTTGCAATGAGTAGCATATAGTATTTTGAAATTATTATTGACTTGTATTTTGGTTCTTTGTAATGCGCAGTTAATTTCACTTTTGATTTGGACGTATACTTATCAGCATTATTTTTTTGCTGCATAAAGAAAGGCTTAGGCATCCTTTAAAACAGCAATATACATATGATAGCTTACTTAGGTGAGGCAATCTGAGTAAAGTCCCGAAGTCGTAGCTTTTCTGTTGGAGTTTCCTTCTCTTAGGCAGCTTACCGAACTATATGTAGGAAGTTGCTGTTCCTTCGGCGGAGTGTCCTGACACTATGGCTAACCTGTTATAGTTTTAAGATCAGCTCCCTGAATCTCTCCAGATATTTACTGTTATGAGAGAGAGAGAGAGAGAGAGAGAGAGAGAGAGAGAGAGAGAGAGAACAGAGAGAATTTGAGCGTCAATGAATTTATATTTTATCTATCTTTAATATGATCCAAGCCTTGTGAGTAAAATTGGTTAGACGGAACCCTTTGGGAACCGTCGATGGTTGTGTTAGCAAGAACTCACAAGCCATCGTGACTGAAGGTTTGAACATGCTGACCTTGTTCAAAGTGTTGATCACTAGATATCGCGCTTTCTCACAGATACTGTAACTAAGGTCCCGCTCAGCATAGTTGCAGTATGAAACAGAGGTGGGATCTGTGGGTGTTGAACAAACACAGATCTGCCTGATCAGACTTCTAAAACAGGGATTGGTTAGCGGCCCTAGTATACAAGCATCCTCAGATGCGAGGGGGGCAGTCATCATCATCATCATCAACGTGACAGTTGAACGTATGGTTATCAACTGAGTGGACTTAAATTCATGTAAGGTGATTCGATAACATATTCATATAAATTTAATTCCCTTTTGATAATAAATTGAATAGGAAAACTATTTCGCATTGCTCATCGAAGCTCTGTTGGATACAATTAATGAAAAGGAGCTGAAGCTTAAAATCTATATTTTATGGGCGCAAAGGAATACTTCCATGGTTCATATTTCCATATAGCAAGATATAGTGTAGTGATCGAGCAAGATTTTTACAAGGTATTCATCCATTACTAGATACCCAATGTATACAGTTTTATGCCGGGCGACAACCTGTAAAATCTGAAATGGCTCTCGTGGAACTTAGTACCGGATTACTGATTGAGCCGGATTACTGATTTTTGATGGTCAACCTGTAGTAGAATTGTGGGAGAGTGATTTGCTTGATCATTCTTCTTTATCAAACATGGGTTTAATCAAATAAACATTAGTACTTCATTATATTAATGCCTCAAAACTATCAGGGATTTTACAAACATTAGAATGATTTTCCTCGCCAGAGTTGAAAAATCAGTCTTTATAATTACGTTACAATTGCGACCAATCCTCCAAAGAAAATTTCTCTTGGCAAATATTTCGTATTTCCATCGTAAAATATTATATTTCACGCGTTTATGCAACAGAAATTTAAGCTATTAAAAAAAAAAAATCTTTCTGACTATCCGTATTTTTCTTGATTGCTTTTAGATAAAAAAGAAAAGTAACAATTTTAAAGCTAGATCTATCTATCTATCTATCTATCTATCTATCTATCTAGGTCTATTCATTATCATTATCTATCTATTACTTATATTTTATACAACTTTTGTGGGTAAAACATCTCAGAATTTGTTCCAGAAAAATAATTTTCCTCAGTGATTTTTATACTGTGCCTCTTCCTACTTTTACGGTAAATGTCAACACAGCTTTATGAAAATATAAAACGTTGTATTTTTTCGATTATTTTTGCTTATTTTTATGTAAAAATATGATTTTCCGCTTGATGAAATATCTAATTTTTTTTTTTCTAGAAACTACATATATATATATATATATATATATATATATATATATATATATATATATATATATATATATATATATAGTCCCTTTATTTCGGTTAGGCCCTGTTAAGTTTGAGAATGAATGCTGCGCTTACATGTTGACCACCCGGAATAAATGAAACTGATATGATTATTTTTCCATCAATTCATCCCATTTAAGGCAATAATACCACTAAGACGCAAACACACACAGAGGGATAGGCGTCTAATTAAAAACGTGTATCCGCTAAATTTAACATATAGTATAAGAAATAATGTCGGATTATCTATATATAAAATTCTAGGACTCCCGTTAGTCCGTCTGTCTGTTCAACACTCTAAAATAGCCATATATTGACCGATCGAAACCAAATTTTTTGCGAACAGATAACGGTGTACAAAGTACAGTTTGTTTTACTAGGGTGTGTAAAAACCGTGAAGTAGGACTCCCGTGAAAGTATTTTTCCAAACAAATCAGCTTATTCAAATAATATCGATTGGTTTGCGAAATTGAAGGAAACATAGAGTTTGTAAAAAATATTAGCAATAACTTCAGCAATACTAAATATTGTGAGAATTTCAACTTGCGCCAGTGTACTGCAAACATTCTAATATATAAAAATCCATTATTTCTTTAAAAGACATTTTGCTTACGTTTTGGATATAAAAATAATGTTTACAGATATGAGCTTCAAAAGCTCTTAGCGAGAGATGTCCTTTCCCTCATAAGGATAATTGGATCTTGCTTCGCTTTCGTTCGTTGAGCGGTCAGAAAAGGGTTAAAAGGTGAAGGCAGGTTCAAACCCTGTCGGCGGGTACAATATCTTTATTAAAGACTCTCTGACCACTAGGGAAAAATATACTCTTTAAAAAACATGTCTACTCAAAAAGTGTACCCACTAAAGATAACGTAATGATTATTGCCTCAAGAGCTTTACGTCAATTCCTCAACCATTTTTCAAGCTTCCTGTGACAGATTTTCCACAGTTTTCATCTCGCTACACATCTTATTCGAAAACTTTATAAATCAACATCGCTACTTAATGCTTTATTACTGGGTCTGATTCATTCACAAAAATGCATATCAGAAAAGCAATAATTCAGTCTTAATTTGTGCATTTGTAGTTAATATATAAAGTAAATATAGCTAGCTACATAAATAGATAAGTAATATTGTCGTATCGTTAAGTTGAGTGAAACTGATGTATATGTGTATTTATTAATATATATTTCATGCTAGAAGCAATCGTCAGGCCTGACGATTCCGTCCTGCATCAAACAGCCTGTCACCTGTGAATGTTGATTTCAATGTTCACTTATATATTTACATACGCTCTATCTCTGATATTGAGCACTTGATCCCATAAATATAGCACACCTTAAAAGTATATTTCCTCATATATATATATATATATATATATATATATATATATATATATATATATATATATATATAATTCATATATATATGGACACTGAAATCAACATCCAGAGGCGAAAGTCTGTTTCATAACCTGACGATTCAAGCGCAGTTCAAATGCTTCAGTGAAGTTGTTTCCTCGTACGGTGAAATTAATCGACGAAGGAAATCCGAATCCTGAGAAAATCCGTTTACGCTCACTTCTTGCTGAAGTCCTGATGAAATCCACTTTTTGCTTCCACGCTAAGTCACGACTCCAAAGAAAATGTTTCACTTTTTGGTATGCAACAATGGGTGCAAAAAGCATTTGCCTGACTCACTCTTCCACAATTATCTGCTCCGGCAATAAATATGCCTCTACAAGTTGTTTTTCACCAATTTTTCACGCAACAATGGGTCAAATAGCATTTGCCTGACTCATCTGCTCCGGTAATATATATGCCACGTTCGCGTTCTAACCATGAGACCGTGGTTCGAATCCCACCAGAAGACTTCCTGATTTTATCGGATTGGAGGGATCAATCTCAGCGTGGGGCACCTTTGGAAAGTACCTGAAAACCATACCCCAGATTAACACAAGCCTTGCGAATGAAAATGGGTAGACGGAACCCATTTTGTTTTTAATGATTGCTGTGCTAGCACGAAGTCACAAGTCATCGTGGCCGAGGCCTTGAGCGTGGTGGCCTTGTTCAAATTGTTGATCACGCTAGATAACACGCTCTTTCCCAGAAACTATAACTAAGGTCTGCTCAGCATAGTTCCAGTATACACCACAGGTGGGCTCTGTGGGTGTTGAATAAACACAAATGCGCCTGAGCATGCATCTGCAATAGGGATGGCTATTAGTGGACGGGTATCCTCGAATAAAAGCGGCCAGCTATACATGTAACGTAAAGCGTCCTTTGTAACTTGATTTAAAAAAAATACTCATAATCTTCTTATTTGTTTTACTGAAAGAACACATCAAAACAAAAAACTGTAATAAATATTGGCTTTTAAAACTGGTTACTCATTAAGAGACATAACGATGAAGAACTATTTGCAAAGTAAATCTTTAAAGCCGATACCCTTAATTTAAAACATATTAATCCCTGGTAATCTGCATTTGTAATCAAATGTATAGTGGGTAAGATGTTAATTTATGTCTTTTTAATTGCCACTGGGAAAAATGTACGCAAAATAAATTCTCGATCTCTTGATTTGCATATTGATATATTACAAAAAAAAAAAAATCAAACGGAGTCTGTAATTTCAAACACCGTCTATAATTTCTCGTTCTACCGTCTTGGTGACGGTATAAATAAAAAATATCTTTTGTAAATGCTATGACTTAAAAAAAATATATTATGGCACACAGATTGTAATTTCTCAGAGCAAAAATTCGGATCAGTGAATATTTCAAATGTATTCTTATTTATTAAACTTAACCTGGTCACAAGTAAGGGAAATTCGAACAGGATCGAACTCACTTTTCAGCATTAATAAACAGCAAGATCAGCTTGCTAACCATTACTCGACTAAGTTCAAAGATGAAATAACGTTAACACAAAACCATAGATATTCACTATACACTTACATAGATATAAACACGCACCCATGAACAAACATTTAATCTCTATCAAGCGCATATATATTTAAGGCGCCAATCAAAATATACCTGACAATTCAAATGTGTAGTATAAGAATCAAGGTTTCGTACATGACTGACGTTTTCTCTGTAATAGAGCTCTCTCTGAATCTATATCCTCCTGGAATTTTTTTTTGTAATATATATATGTATATATAATTGATTCGAAAATTATAACATAAATGTTAGAAAATTGCTCAACTCTGTATTGAGCACTCTTTTAAGAATAGTACATTTTGGTTATTGGAATTTATTCCATATAGACCAACCCTATACTTGTATATATATATATATATATATATATATATATATATATATATATAATTAAAACAAAAAGTGGCCCATGTGTGCTTCTTATAATATGTAAAATAGATAGGTTGGTTAATAAAACAAGAACAAACTAAAGGGTACCAATATAATCAGTACGATAAGCATTTATTAAATATTAACCATATGACAGAAATGGAGCACGAAGAGAAAGGTTTTATGTTCGGAATTTTCTAACACGCCTGTGTCCTTCATCAACGGTCCGAGGAACAAAGAGTGAAATGGGAGATGTTCTTGTAGCTGGAGTATTTTCCAGTGGAAATCGTATTACTAGTCAAAACCAGATCTCTGATTAATGAAAAGAAACTTAAATTTAAAATTTTGATCAGTGTAAAAGAAGAAGAGCGTCATAGGTTGGGGAGGGAGAATGTTGTAACAAAAATTGGCAGATCACGTGGTCGAGTTTTGAAAAACGGAACTATGGTTAGAATATGATGTAATGAAATTGAAGAAAGATAAAGGAAAAGAAAGAAAAAGAGAGGGAAAAGAGAATATATAGTAATGAAATAAAAGCAAAATAAAAGAAAATGAAAAGAAAAAGTAAAGGAACAAAATATAGATAAAAACTTGGAAATCTATTGTTAAAAAAGGGTTTAATAAAAAGAAAAAGATTAACTCACAGGAAAAAGCGTGTACATATATAGATGCACATGCGTAAATATGTGCATATAACAGTGTGTAAATATACACAAGCCCACACAAAAATCATCATACACATATAGATATAAATACATGTACACAATTAATATGTATCTTCACTAAACGTCCCCTCTCCTTACATAAGCTTATACGTAAAGTAGCCATATAGAAAGATTCAATGATAGCATGACAGAATGATAGGATAAAGATTAATTGCTCTTTATCCTATCATATATATATATATATATATATACAATATGGTAATCCGTATGGAATTTCCAGAAGGCTAGAGATCCAGGGAGAGCTCTAAGACAGAGCAAAATTACTATTAATTGAAGAATATCAAACACTTAAAATCCCATACGTAATAATTTTTATTTCATGAGGGCTCTAAAAAGCATCTCTCGATCTTTAAGACCTACAAACAAAAAGGATTTTGTTTGTAGGTCTTGAAGAGTCAGAGCTACCTTTTCAGAGCTCTCATGAAATTATTACCTATGGGATATTAAGTGTTTGATATTCTTCAATTAATTAATTAATTAATTAATAAATAAATAATAATAATAATAATAATATATATATATATATATATATATATATATATATATCTGTGTGTGTGTATACAAATATATGTGTGTGTGTATGTGTTTATTATTTCAAACATTATGATATTTGATACTCGTATTTTGAATAGACGCCATATTTTTATTTTTTATTTTTACAGTATGTTTTACGTCCTTCGGACTACACATTTAAGAAAACTTAAAAAAAAAAGTGCCCTTCAACAGGAATCGAACTTCCACTCACCCCTCACTGTGTAAGAAAAGCCACCATTTTACCCGGTGTGCTTTGCCACTCGGCTACGAAGATCCTCACGGTTATGCATGTATAGAGGGGGGGGTTCTGAAAAGTTCATATCATTGAACCACTTCTTAAAATCAACCGAAATCACTAAGCATCAGAATTTCTTCCTTATAAAATCCTTTCTTTGTCGAGATAGAACTTTTCAGTAAACACCAGAATACACATATGTGTGTGTGAGTGTGCGTGTGTGTGCGCGCGCATGCGCATGCTTGTACAAGTCTCGGGAATTTAATCCCTGTTATATTTTCGGCATTGAACGCTATACAATAAAAAATGTTTGCGCTGAATGCTGTTGACATTTGCTGAGTGCTATCATAAGATGGTCATAGAGTGATTCTTATGCGTGCAATTTGATCGTTCTGCGACTGTTATTGTGCAACATAAAAAGCAGATATATGATAGATGTGCTACTGATATGTCAGCTCCGGACTTTAAGAGAGCGACCTTATCATATCTAAATATCGTCTGGTAATGGCATCTTTAAAAATACATCATTTACCTGTAGTACTTTGGAAGTGGGACACACGTACACACACACACACACACACACACACACACACACACACACATATATATATATATATATATATATATAGGGAGCGAGAGAGAGAGAGAGAGAGAGAGAGAGAGAGAGAGAGAGGAGTTGATAGAGAAAAGAATAGAATGCCAGAAAAAGAACAGGAAAGGGAAAAGTGGCAATACACGCCGTTGAAAAATGGCTGATTTGAAAAGCGGGAAAAGCGGAAAAAGAAAATAGATGCATCAAGAATATTCTTAAGATAAAAGAAAACAACTTAAAGAGGAAAACAAAGAACGGATACAGACAAGTGCTTCTGAAACTGAGAACATTCTTTTTCTTTTGTCTTTTGTTTTCAAGATTTGTTTGGGGAATAGTGTTCAGGATAAGGAAGAAGAAACTAAAAAAGAAAAAAAAAATGAAACGAAGATTTACTAAATGAAATTTGTAAGATTGTGTGAAAAAAGAAAACAACAAAACAAGGGCGTAAACGTTAAAAACAAAACAAAAGAAAAAAATAACCGCAAAACGAAACGATGACAAATGATCATTGATTGTCTTTAAATTCCGTTATTTCATGATGACTTTTTATGCAACACATTTAATATTTCTTATTGAAGAAGGAATATAGAGATTCTTCCAACACACACACACACACACACACACACACACACACACACACACACGTATAAAATTCTCAAAAATAATTTGTAGGAAAAGACCATATTAATGAAGGAAAAAAACGTAGGAAACTGTATGTAGTATTAGTCGACGCGTTTCGAGCAATGTGGACTTTCTCAAGGCAAAAGACGAAACGAATTTATTGACAGAAAGTATTTTTATAACAAAAACAAAATTGTTGTTTATAGATACTTTAGTCTCAATTAAATCGTTTCGTTTTTTGCCTTGAAAAATTCACATTGTCGACTAAAACTACATACATTTTTCGTATTGTCTTTGTTCATTTATACATACATACATACATACATATATATATATATATATATATATATATATATATATATATATATATATATATATATAAGATACTATAGCTTACCGCATTAATTTGTTTTTGACCGTGAGGTCTCATCAGATGTCTAGGTAACAAACACACACACACATATATATATATATATACGTAGTGTTCGTTGACGAACACTTGTTGTTACCTTGACATCTGATGAGACCTCACGGTGAAGGATATAGTATTTTAGGATATATTTTTATATATATATATATATATATATATATATATATATATATATATATATATATATATATATATATATATAATAAAAAGGCTTAAACACTAATATTCCATGGTCATAATTTATTCCATTGGAATCGTAAATACGATCCAATTCATCAGGTCAATATTTATAAATATAAATGACAATAGGATAACTGTAATAGTTGCCGACGCGTTTCGTCCGATGTGGACTTTCTCTAGGCAAAACGTAATGAATTTATTAAACGAAGTAACAAAATGTTCTTAGCAACTGGAAGAATTTAGAGAACGCTATTTTCATACTGTTAACTGGAATTACGTCATTTACTGTCACGTGTGAAGATATTGTCTTTATTGCTGTATTGACCAATTGATCCATGTTCTTTTGATTTATTGATACTGTTCTGTACGTGTGTTTGGGAGAGAAGTAATTCTATTAAGAAAGGTGAAATAGGGAAAAGCCTGGCCGTAGATTAATATTTGGGTAATATTCAACGGCGGCACTCTCGAGGATTTTCCTTCTGAGTGAGTTATTTTGTTTTTTTTATGAGTGTAGAATTTAAAAAAAATTAAAATTGTGGTTGAATTTATTTCTATGTATGACTAGTGCATTAGCTAAGCGCAGTGGAGTTGTTCAACGAGACTGAACACACAAGATTATGGGTTCTCTCCTAAAACAGAGCACCACTCAGCATATTTGATCTGTTTTTTTCGAACGGTTAAAGTGTTTACCAGTTTTTTAAAGGGATCTTTTATGTATCAACTGCAAAATTTTATGTAAGAAGCTGAACGCGCATATAACTGGCTCGCATTAAATTACCTCCCCCATCTCTTTCGCTTTTGCTTCTTTGGATGTTTGAGCGTCAGACTTCGATGCATCTTACAAAATAATGTAACAATCTGTATCTGTCCATAAGGAAATTGTCTAGCTTTTATATGCAGACAACTTCGTGTCATAGCCTATATTAAAAATGTTTATAGTGAATTTGAATTTAGCGTGGGTCACATTAGATTGATTAAACACAGCAAAGACCACAAGTCTATTTTTAAAAGTATTCTGCTTTTTGAAATTAATCTTTCATTCGCAAGTAGCTTAACAAGGCCTGAAGATACTCATTCATGGTTTTAAAACAATTTTGTGTAGCGATTTTTAACATGTTTTAATATCTTGAAATAAATTATATATATATATATATATATATATATATATATATATATATATATATATATATTGTTATGGGACTGTTCCATACTTAATGAATACTGCGTCTCAGGAGTAGGCAAGGAGTCGGTAGTTCAAGTTTTGACCGGCTGATCGGTTGAACGATCTGCCTTCGGGCGGGGAAGAACCCGAAAGAGGCTACGCCGAAGGGCGGATTCTCTTTCGGGGAGGTAAACCGACCCTGAACCCGTTTATACGGTTTCAATGGGCATATTTTTGGCCGAGCCCACGGGCTCGGAGATCCCACGTTAAACCGGCCTTGTGCCACATGACGCCCTCTGACCAATTACTGCAAGACATTGGAATAGTGATACTGGTCGGGACTACATTGTTCTCTTTACTAAACCTGATTGTTCATACTAACACTTCCACTTCTCTGTATATATTCCTGTTTGTAATATATCTGTGTTATTCCATACCTGTGTTCGAGTTCTTCTTTATTGGTTCTACCTTGGACTATCACCGTGGTACAAGGAACCGGACCATAACATATATATATATATATATATATATATATATATATATATATCCAAATGTAAAAGAAGGAAGAGTAAGATTTCAGCGTTCAAAACATTAATTTAAAACAGGGCTCAATGCAAAAGTAGAGCAATAAATATTTGTTTATTATGCAGTATTTTTAACGTTCAACCAAGATTTACAGTTTTGTAGTGGGTATGTCCATGTTCTAATGTAACACTGCACACACACACACACACACACACACACACACACACACACACACACACACACATATATATCTTTTTGCTTGACTCTAACTTGTCCCTAATGTGTATCAATGACCTTCCTGATGGCATCAGTTCTCAACTTAGTATCTATGCTGATTTACTCCGGTCTAAATAGTCTGATCCGTTCAATGAGGTCAAATTGGAAGCTGATATAAAAAAGCTCTACAATCTGCTGTTAACTGGAGCAAAGAATGGCTTCTGAATTTTAATACCTCCAAACCGAAAATGCTCTCTATTAATCCTTACAGTCGATTTGGCTAGACGTAACCGTAAGTTCTATGCTAACATTTTCTTCTATCGCACTTCTCGCTTGTGGAACCCTCTTCTGGTTTCTTGTTTCCAGAATATTTCGATCTTCAAAAATTTAAATACAATGTCAATCGCTATCTACTGCCGCCTTGATTCCTCTTCTTTTATTGTTCTTGCTCCTTAATAATGTTTTTCTTATTTTTATTCTTTTGGACTGAATAGCCAAAGACACATGGAACATAGAGAAAGAACGAAATATTAGGGAGACTGATTTATATTTTTACGGATTATCAACATTTTGCAGGTTATTTAAAGCCAGAAAATATTAAAAAAAATTTTTAGTGGTAATAATGATTTTTACTGATACACGCTCTGATAATTAACCTATAGCTGAGAGAGATGAGATGGATTCATAACCAACTGGAATTAGAACTTGACTCTCCAATTTCCAATTCCGAGTCGTTATCCGTTACACCACCCACACATCTAAACTTACAACCCCTGGGATTCCCAAGCAGTCACCGATCTAGGTACTAGCCAGGATCGACGTTGCTTAACTTCGGTGATTGCACGAGAACACGAGTTTTAACATGATATAGCCGTAAGCCGAGAGATAGATAGATAGATAGATAGACAGAGAGAGAGATATGGATAGATAGAGAGAATCCTAATTAATAAAAGAGAAAAGTTTCAGTAGATTTGCACGCTGAAGGACGCCAAGTGTCCGTCATAGTGAGTTGTAGCAGAACTAACTGAATTCCTTCCCATTGGCATTTAAAAAAAATTCTTTTCTCATCAACGCAAATCTGTCAGAAACGTCGAGAGCAGTACAAATAGTGGAACGTTCTAACGTAATTAAATTAACCTCTGTAGATCAATCTGTTTTTGTCTTTATATACTAATCTTCACCATATGTCAATGTTCAGCCTTGTTTTTTAAATTAACATCAAAATGTCATTCTATCTGAATGACGTCAAAAATGAAAAAAAATTAAAAGGAAATGCACTTGTCCACACAAAAACACAAAAAATGTGAATGAAAATCCCATCAATCAAAGCGATTCTCACAATACCAAATTATCGTCTGTTTCTTGTTACAGATTCAAAGAGAGGCACCTATGAAGTTGTGATTAGAAAGATAATCACAAATTCCTACTTATTTTAAGATAAATTAGCAACATGCATACTCATTTCGGTCGCCACAAACAAAGTGGGTTTGAGGAATGAAATTAAATTTCTTTTCTTTTTTATTTATCATGTAACCATGGCTGGCAAAAACGATGGCGTTTTCACATATTTTAAACAACATTTCTTTAAACAACAATATTGGCACTAGAGTCAAAGGTTGAACATTTTTCATTAATAATTTGACGCATGTTTTAAAAAATTATTTCACCCCACGCAAGGAAATAAAGCAACTTAGACAGAAAGGGGTTACTGAGCGTGAAAGAATAAGAAAAAGAGAAATATTATTAAGGGGCGAAAAGAAGAAAAAATAATAATCAAGAAGACAGTAGATAACGATTGACATTGCATTTAAATTTTTAAAGATCAAAGTTGGCTGGAAAGCGTGGAGCCGTAAGTGAGTTCCACAAGCGAGAAGTGCGAACCAAAGAAACTGTTAGCTTACAGTTGATTCTTGCCAATTCAACTGTGAATTGATGAGATCTTGTTGCTTATCTAGCACTGCGTTTAAATGAATAGAGTCTCGGTGTCATGGATATATTTTTCCGTTCTTTCGTCTTCAAAATAACGAAACATCTTTTTCATTCCCATATATGTAAATTTGTTCATTCTATCTGATATTCTTTTGAATTTTCGCTTCTTATTTTTTCCTGGTTTTAATTTTATTCTAATTCTTTGTTTTTATTTTGATTTAAATTCCGTCTTTTTTCACCATACTTTTTATGCTACGTTTTTGGACGTCATCCCCTTTTAGGCTTACGCCCCTATCACATTGAAAGAGCGGTTCTCCTACAATCACCGAAGTTGAGCAACAGCAAGCCTGGTCAGTAACTAGTGACTGCCTACGAATACCAAGTGTTGAAAGGTTGAATGAACGTGTTATGGATAACGGTTCGGAAATTGAAATTTAAGAGCCGAGTTCCAATTCCAGTTGGGTTCGTTATATTCACTTACGCGCACATAACCCTTGGGAAAGTTATGACCCCCCTCTTCTCTCAAGCAGGTTAATTAGTAGGATTGTATCAGTAAATAATCAGTATTTCCAAAAGAATTCTTACAATTCCCACCAAATTTTCTGGCTTTAAATAACTTGATAAGCTGTAAAAAAAAAACAAAAAAAAAAAAAAAAAAAAAAACTCAACCTTTGTCATTATTTTCTGTTTTCTTTTTTGAATCCTTTATCTATTGGTCTGGAGATTTCTTTCTTTTTTTTTTTTACACGTTCATTTATGCTTTTCTTTCTTTCTTTATCGTTGTTCATTCTTCATTTTTCACAGCCATTTTTCCTTCATTTTTCTCCTATTTAAAATTTCGGGCTTTTAACAATATTCTTTCTTTTTTTCTTTCTTTCTATTTCAGAATTACTTTGTCTTTTATTTTATCAATATTCGTTCTTCCTTTTAACTACAAAGTTACTTTAAGTCTATTATATATTATAAATATTCTTTCTTTCTTTCTTTCAACCACATAGTTACTTTCAATCTTTTCTTTTATCAATATTCTTTCTCTCTTTTAAGTACATAGTCACTTTCGGTCTTTTTTATCAACATTCTTTCATTCTTTTTTCTTTCTTTCTTTCTTTTCTTTTTTCTTTCTTTCTTTCTTTCTTTTCTTTTACCGACATAGTTACTATTAGTGTTTTATATTATAAATATTCTTTTCTTTCTTTCTTTCAACCACATAGTTACTTTCAATCTTTTCTTTTATCAATATTCTTTCTCTCTTTTAAGTACATAGTCACTTTCGGTCTTTTTTATCAACATTCTTTCATTCTTTCTTTCTTTCTTTCTTTCTTTCTTTCTTTCTTTCTTTCTTTCTTTCTTTTACCGACATAGTTACTATTAGTGTTTTATATTATAAATATTCTTTCTTTCTTTCTTTCAACCACATAGTTACTTTCAATCTTTTATTTTATCAATATTCTTTCTCTCTTTTAAGTACATAGTCACTTTCGGTCTTTTTTATCAACATTCTTTCTTTCTTTTTTTCTTTCTTTCATTCTTTCTTTCTTTTACCGACATAGTTACTATTAGTGTTTTATATTATAAATATTCTTTCTTTATTTCATTCATATTTGCATTTATTTTATCAATGTTCTTTTTTCTTTTGTTTTTCTTTTAGCCACATAGTTAATTTCAGTCTTTTATTTTGTCAGTATACTTTCTTTCTTTCTTTCTTTCTTTCTTTCTTTCTTTCTTTCTTTCTTTCTTTTAACCACCGATTTACTTTCAGTCTTAATTTATCAATATTCTTTCTTTTTTCTGCTTTTAACAACATATTTACTTTAGCTCTTTTATTTTATCAATAATCTTTCGTTCTTTCTTTCTTTCTTTGCATTCTCTTATAAATATGTCAGGCAAGGCAAGAATGCCGATCACGTGATTACAAATCATAAACAAATCTGCTTCTTTAGAAACAAACTCGAACACATTTCCTACATTACTGACCAGATTGTTGCCGACAGACGTGTGAAGCTGTCTTTCTGCTTGACATTTTGTTCATTTTCTTAGACCTTCCCAACTTCATAAATCGCACAATAAATTAATTCCCGGCGTTTACTTGGCGACACAATTCAGGTTTTGAACATAATATCCACTTTTCTTCATTTCCTACTGAACACTGCCCTTAATTTTATTGCCCTAGAAAGTGGTGATTCATGCACCTTGATCGATTCATTCGCTTTTTACTGCTTATCAACCCTTTGCAGGTTATTTAAAGCCACAAAATATATTTTAGATGGTAAGAATTTTTATTTTGGGAGATAATCAGGATTTAATGATACAAGTTTTAGTTATTAATCCGTAGGATATTTGCGTGTAAGTGAATATAACGAACCCAACTGGAATTGGAACTCGGCTCTCCGATTTCCAATTCCGAGCCGTCACCCATTGTACCACTCGCACATAGAAGCTTACAGCACATAGTATTTCCAAGCGGCCACCCATCCAGGTACTGACTAGGCCCGACGTTGCTTATCTTTGGTGATCGTACGGGAACCGATATTTCAACATGATGTGGATATAAGCCTTGATGCACCAAGGTTTTAGACTTGACTGTTTCGTACTCAGAAGAAATGGCCCGAGATAAATAAATAAATAAATAATAATAATAATAATAATAATTATTATTATTATTATTATAATGACGTACCGTGCAGTCAGAGAGAAAAATATTTAATTTTCGTCACGACGTGGAGAGAAAAATTCTCACATCTTGTGTAGATTTCTCTCCATGTAGTGACTGCAATTAGTTTTTGTTATCTCTTGATTGCATGGAACCTCATCTGCTTGTATCTTATTTTTGCTACTGTCCATCAATACAAGACCTAAGAGCCGCTCAAGGTAGAAGCTTACCAAATTAAGTTATTGTAAGAATGTACAGTGGGAGGCGAGCAAGACGTTAATATTATTACATATAGGATATGTTAAACATTAGGCATGAAGTGGTTAAGATTGCAGTGATCGTAAAAGTATCCCCTTGGCCGTCCGTTCCACAATGCAAAAGTTCTGGGGAAGAAGCTGTCTGAATTGAACTTACTCCTTACTAATGGAAGACGAAGGGGATGATGATGCGTCAGCTCAGTGTAGGTGGCATGGTAAGTACAAACTGTGAAAATATGAACTGGTGGAACCAAAATCTGAACTGATGGTACTCAATGTGTGATATATATATATATATATATATATATATATATATATATATATATATATATATGCATGCATGTATATATGGCCTGACGAATGCATTTAAGCATGAAACAGACTGCCACAGCTGGGTATTGACGTCAGTGTCTACTTTTATATTTACATAAGCTCTATCCCTGATATTGAGCATTTTAACCGATTAATGTTGCATAACTTATAATTATATGTATATATATATATATATATATATATGTGTGTGTGTGTGTGTGTGTGTGTGTGTGTGTATAAACATTCATTTGAGGAGTGGACGGAGAGTAATGAAAACTCTGGAGTCGGGATGCTGAAGGTAACAATAATCAGCTAAGTGACAAACTTTACAGATTGTATTAATTGTATATATATATATATATATATATATATATATATATATATATATATACAGAGAGAGAGAGAGAGAGAGAGAGAGAGAGAGAGAGAGAGAGAGCGAGTGATGTTTAAATTGTCGATATTCTATATTTTTAAATTCGTGCATGCGACTTGTTTGTTTTGGATTTTGTCGACTGCACAGTATAGTAGGGTCAGTTGGGCACCATCTTTGAGAAAAAGAGTCCCATGATGCAATTCATTTAGACAGAAATTTGGAAACGACATTCTGTAATACTTAATATTCACGCCGGAAGCACCAATACGAACATTTCCTAGTGTTCAGGTCTCAATCTGAGGACACTGCAGAGGAGTTGGAAAGAGTTGGACGAATCTAACTGTGATTACGAATGTTTTGGAGTGATCACTAGCGATAGAGTCTTTATTCATCTTCCTAAATCAACTACCTTGAGGAGGTAGTGCTACCCGGGGCCAAGGGGTGGGGGCTGCTGGAATACTCTATATCTGGCAACAACATTCTGCACTCAATCATTGCTGTCAGATAATTTCTGAGACCATATTGTGACGTCGTCCCCCCTGGTCGCAGCGTCGACTGTGTCGTTCGATCCCGTTCGCGATGCCAATTGTGACGTGACGTGGTCCAGGGTTCTGATCCTATGGTCACGACACCAGTTGTGACGTCTTTGCCGCGGCGTCAGCTGTTCGCTCCTCGCTGCTCCAAGTGTGACGTTCTAACCCTTTGGTTAGATGAATACCAGCCTCGTCGTTCCCAACCCGCTTCCAACGCCTGGTTACCAGGGTAACTGCACTGATCTCCGGTCTGTCTACCCACGTTGTGATTAGATCTTAGACAGACGGGATCAAACAGGGATTGGGCCGTATGCAAGCTGAGTCCAACGGGGGTGATAACACACAAGAAAAAATAAAAATTCACAAGGTCAAAATATTGAAGAAAAAGGTAACAACTCTTTATATCAACTGCTTGTTACACAAGATTATTCCTACCTCCCGACCCGTTCTGTGGACGGTGGCACCACGCTTCTACCATACAACTTTAAGGCTTCGAGTTGCTTGTTCTCTAGAAATTTGCATTTCGGGGTGTGGTTTGGTTTCAACACTGGGCGCTGATCTCTACCTGTCGTTCACGGCTGATTTCTCTCGCCGTCCGTGGCTGCAACTAACTCTCTCTTCAGAGTCTGAATTATTGTTCACTCATCCCTGCCGTCAGTGCGCGAATTAACTTCTACTCTTCGGCTTCGGTTGGACGAGCTTATTCACTTCGGCTTAGGTTGGACGAATTTCTCTTCTTAGGCCAAACGGACCGGCCTTTCTTGCCGCAAAGGGGACGAGTGAACAGGGCCCGCCGTCCGCGCTGCAACTGATTTCTGTCGGTTGGGGTCCCGCTTTTATTGAGGCAGTCAAAAGCTGGGGTGGGTCTGTCGGCGCCAGGGTTTTCTTGATAATTCTAAAGACGTATTATTTCTGATTAGGGATTTTCCATTTTCGGTAACTTACTTTCACTCCTACTTCCTTACTGTGCCCCTGGGGGGGCGTATACCCGCTTCCCCTGGTCCTTCGTATGTCAGGTGACCGCTCTCGACCAATGGGGTCCTGGTCGGGCATCTTTCCTCCTCCCTCGCACATCATGTGACCGCTCTCGGCCAATGGGGTCCTGGTCGGGTGTCTCACCTCCTCCCTCATGTATCATGTGGCCGCCTTCGGCCAATGAGACTCTGGTCGGTATCTTTCCTCCTTCCCTCGTGACGTCTTTAATCGGGCGTGGACAATCCGTAGATTTGTTCTTGGGGGGGAAACACCCAGCTTAAAAAAACAAAAACTTAAACTGCCCTTTTCGTATGTGACCGAAATGACGATCTCGGTTTCTTTTACACGCGGTATTTGTCAAACATCCTATCGCTAATTGGATACGATCTAAGAAAGGGATTTTTAGACCTGTCGGCGTTTCTCTGAACGCAACAAAATATTTCATTCTCCTCCGGTCGATAATAAAAATCTGTATTATCTCAAAAAGCGACATCACCCTGGGTGGCGTTAACGTGAACTAATAAAAATATTTCACTTTTTCCCTTCGCTCGGAGCTTGACAACAAAAATCTTAATTATCTCAAAAAAAGCATTTTCTAATCATCATCTTGTGTGGCTGTATTTTCAATTCTGGAATTGTGTGGGTTCTCGTATTAATGGATTGTCTGTATATCCTTAGATAAACTTCCCACCTGTTACCTATCATATTTTTTCCATTGTCTCTAAACTTTATTTCTTCAACCAAATTGATAACAAACTTCCATCCTCCGCGGACACGGAAGTAGGTCAGGTGCTTGACCTGATATTTTTGACATCTGATATGTGCCAGTCGAGCGTGTGTGTTTTCGCTTACGACCTGGTTTCGTATTATTTATTTTTCTCCTTTCTTTTCTTCTTCTTTTCTTTCTTTCTCTCAGATCGCCTGAATGTAAAGAAAGAATTATTCCTAACCCCGAAATATTTTTCAGCTCTAAATAATTATCAAATGGTTAACAAACCGAAAAAAAAACAAATCATATATTTATGAATATCTCTTTTCAGTTTTCTAATTATGCATGGTGCCACAATCCTCCCTTAACCGATTTGTCATTTACCCGTAAATGACACCTAAACCCAATTACATCATTTAACATGCACTATGCATTTGTCTCATGCAATTCTATACTACTTTCTTACATGAAGTGTGATGTTCTCTTCCAACTTCTTTTTGTTCTACATGCAAGGGTAATGTTCTTTTCATCTTCTTTTGTTCTACATGCAAGGGTAATGTTCTTTTCATCTTCTTTTGTTCTACATGCAAGGGTAATGTTCTTTTCATCTTCTTTTGTTCTACATGCAAGGGTAATGTTCTTTTCATCTTCTTTTGTTCTACATGCAAAAGTAATATGTGCGTGTGTCTGTGGGTGCAGATGTGGTTGCTATGGTTTATTCTTCTTGGTCAATGTTTTCCTCTCCGCTGTGGGAGGTTTTTCCGCCGCACGTGGTGGTCTCACGTCAGCCTCCTCCGTTGGTCTTTCAGCAATTTCTTCGCCAGTCCTGTCTGAGTGAGGAACACTGTTCGGCATCTCCCTCTCGAGTTGCTGCATGCTCATTAGATTGTCGTTCGCTAATCTCCTCTTACTCTTAACCTTCCATATTAATACACCCCCGATGGCTATGACTAGGAATGTACCCATCACTATTGACCAACTTATCGCGATCTGCTCATCGTCTTCCCAAGCCACACCTTCGTTTCCCAACGCACTTAACTTATCTCTCAATTGATCCATATCGATCTTTTCTATCGGCTTCATTAATACTGGCATTTTATTTAGGGTAACATTAGAGAATCCCTTCACTATCGGCTCCCATAATTCTGTACAATTGACTAAGCCTCTACCAATCATCTCTATGATTGAATCTTTCTCTTCATATCTTTCTTCTTCCTGGTAATGGGGGTGGGGAAATGGATATCCCAACCGCCGAACATCCCATGGGTAGCTTTAACAGGGATAACGGTGGCCTTATTCTTAATGTCCTTGTGGACTCTCCCCACATACCCTAGACAAGCTGATAGGTTTCTGTGTGGCTACTGCCCACACCCCGTCTGAAACACTGATAGCTTGTGGTAATGCCGTGTTTGTTAATACCTCCACTTGGCAGGTTCTTTTGATTCCTTCCCCCTTCCCTTCAAACAATTCTAGTAGGCACATTCTGCGGTTACCAGTTTTATAGATAGGGCTTACCGAGGTACAAGCCCCTAGAGCATCATCTCTACACCTTCCAGCTTCTTCAGCTGATAGCAACATGAATTTCATTCTCCCCGAATTTAAAGCTACGTAGTCTGCTTCCACCTTGTACCTTGCTATCATTCCCAAACCTTGATCTCTTCTGGGGTAGGGAATGGGTAAGTTTATAACCTGGTATATCTCGAATATACTCTCGCTATCTAATAACGGAA